CTTTAAGGCATCTTTGAATACTTGAAGTGAAGGCAGAAGCAAAAGAGAGAGTTTTTTTTTTTTACCCTCCACGGTTAAAAAAGTAAAAGGTGACTAAGTGAGAGCAGGTGCATCTGATAAAACAGGCTAGAGAGGGGAGAAAAGAGCCATTTTTAAATTTTCAACAAAGACTTGAAAGGGAAATTTTTCATAAAAAAACAAGCTTTCTATAATAAGTGTGTGGTCCATCCATGCACAACCAGAGTTTCTTTTTTGCAAATACAGGGCTATTTTGGATTTAGCTTTTAACACTTTCAAATTCATTTATAAAATACGGTGGTGACAATGTGACCCCACAAAACAGATACATGCTTACATTAAGGCCCCTGTAACACCTTTAACTTGTAAAATAGTATAAAAATAAATATGTAATCTCAATTATTATTTAGTACAACACAAAAGCACTACATAAATGATTTTTATTGTCCTTCTCTTTTCTGTTTGGCGACACAAAATCACTATATAAATAATTTTTATTGTCATTTTTTTTTCTGTTTGGCGATAGTAAAAGCCATCATTTTTTTTATAAAACGACAATCTAATAACCCTTCCTAATAAATGAAAATATTTTTGTCACATGTCACTCTCATTAACTTTAACACATGTCATTTTTGGGATTTTTGATTAAATGTTTTTTCCATTTATCATTTTCTCATTTTTTTTATCTTTTCTTAATTAACATATCATATTTACACCTCAATTAATAATTGTTTTAATTGAAAATAACCAATAAATTACAATATTAGTACTCATATAATATTTAACTAGATTATAACCCACGTAAAACGTGGGTAACATATAAAAAAATATATATAAAAGTATAAAAGGTTGGTACAATAAAAAAAATAATAAATAATATATACATACGTGTGTTAAGCCCTTGAATTTGTATGATTATTGATCATAAGCTATTGTATGGTTAGAATGTGATATCTCACACGCTTTTTATAAGAAGGAAGGTCAAAATTATCCTTTTAAAGAAAGTTTTTGTGTGAAACAGATAAAGTGATTTATCAATTTATTTCTATTTTTTAATAAACTAAAAATGTAACCATTATTCTTACGGAACGACTATTAAAATTAGGAAGATAACCAACATCCCACATAAAATGAGCCAAAATAAAATAAAAAATTATTCAAGATACTATGTAGTAACTAAAAGATTAAACGTTAATTTGATGTGGTTCAGTTTACCTACTTAATTACCATGGATTTTATAATATAAAAAATATTTCATACCATGATTCAATTTGTTTAGATAATTGGGTATACAAAATTCATTTTATACCAGTGGATAACTATGTATTGTGAGTGTGTAGGCAGTTTCAAAATAGCTCTTAGTTATGAGATACTTGATTGCATGTTATAATGTGTTTCTATTTCAAAACTTTACTTTCTTAATCAGGCTAAGAAGCACAACAACACTACTGTGATGGACATGAAATAGAACAAAAGAAGGTGAACCACAAGAAACTGTTCATCCAAGTTAAATTGTTTGTTTAAAAACTAAAATAAAGAGGAATTAAAAATCCTGGTAGAATGCCTTTTATTTTAAGGAAAAAAACAATTGTCATCGGTAACACATACAACAATTCTACATTATTTTCATACAATAAAACAATGACCAAATTAACCTTTATAGTTAGCAACAAAATAACTATAACATATGAAACACATATCCAATTGCCTCCTATAATTCAATAGTACACCCTTGAAACAGTTCTTGATCTATAGATTTGACCTTTATAGAAGCCTATAGAAAAGAAACAGTTCTTGATCCATAGATTTGGTTGCACAGGGGCATAGATCCAATGGAGACACCATCAACATTGGCGTTTATTTAGGAGCTCAGATGGAAAATATTGTGAAGGACTATTATGTTGTGTTCTTTGTCATGTCAGTCCAACATTAAATCACCATAATCTTGTATAATAGAGGCCATTGCCACAACATTCATTGCATAATTTAGATATGACCTATACAAAAGTCAAAACTTGTTACATGGAAATAACCTAAATCATGTAAAAACGATGTTTCAAAAACATAAAATAAAATTAGATTGACCAATGGATGTAGATTCTTACATACCCAATGCAGTTTTGTTATTGCGTTTGGCTTTTGAAATGCAAATTTAGAAGACCAGTATTTTCCCTGTTTGGACAAAATATTTTGAAAGTTCATGTCAAATATCAAACAAAAATATATTTCAAATGACAAAAAAAAATTATCAAACCTTTAGATGAACTGGTTCTTCAAAACCTCATCTTTGTTTATTATTTTTCTCTAGTTCTCAAATGTATAAAACTCTCGACACTATCAAATCGTTATTAATACAGCATAAGCACATCCAAAGACTATCTCCTACAAAGTGGTTCATTTGATTTTTTTTATTTAATATTACCTTTAGTTAAGTCCCAAATCTTTACTACATTAACAAGTCCAATACGTTAATAATTTTTTTTACATTACTAAAAAGAGAATCATAAATCAAGCAAAGCTAAAGTTAACTAAATGATCCAGCAATGAACTCGTTAAAATTGTTGTAAAACACATGATTTAGGAAGGAAAAAATATCAGATTGAGTATGAAAACGCACCTCATCTCTCAAGGAAAACCGATGAATGTGTTCTTTCTTCGTGTAGGCTTGTCATAGTAATTAACAAATGGCGTAACATTCCTTATTTCATTATCCTCTGTTGACCTTATTTCATAGCTTTTCTTTTGACCAAGATGTGGGTACCATCTAGAATGCCTTTCACCTTCAAATCTCATATTTCTACCACTAACCCATTCCCCTGTTGCACCAAAAGACATCAGTTTCTAAACACTGTTTCAAAAGGAAGACAATTTCATAAATCATAAAATTTTCTTTTATATAAAAGTAAAAGATAGAAGATACCTTGTTTTGTTTTTTCATCAGCATCGACCATGTAAACCCTCATCCTTTTCTTGCTAGGGGAATCCTTATATTGATCCTTCACCGGGCCCACTAAATGATTGCCTAACATCTCATCCTTTCTTGGTGAACCCTTAGGCTTATTATAATATTTGGGGCTCATTAAGACATTTCCTACATTCTCTTCAGTACTTAATATATTAATGCTAATATCCTCTTCATTTGCAGCAACTCTACCATCAAAACCAAACTGATCCCCTAGTCTTTAAAGACTAGCTTGTGATCTATATATTGTAATCTATGTTAAAAACGATTAAAGGGCAAAAATAGAAATACAAAAAAAAACAAAAAAAAAAAGAAAAAAAAAACAAACAGATCCTTGCCTCTTCGGTTCATCTTGTATCCTAGAGTAGCGATGATTTGCCTTCACAAACTTCCTAATTTTTGAGGAAATTTTGAAATATGAAAAATAGAATCTGTAAAAAATAAAAAAGGGTGTAACTGAAAAAGTTAATAGTTAAGATTAGCTATGATGATCCATGAAATACCTTTTGCATTCGTCTTTCCATATGGACAATTACATATCAAGCTCTTTAATTTTGGAATTTAAACTATCTTCTTCTTGGACCCTTTCCTCCGAATAGAACTAAGCACTATTATGTTGATGAGAAAATATGTAATTAACACTTGAAAAAAAAGGGAAAACAAATAAATAATAATAGTCTACTTAACTCACCTGCAGTTGCTGCTTGTGATCTTCTAGCATATCAATTTCAGATTGCACATGCTTCAACTCCACCATGGGTTTAGAAGGAAACACAGAAAAGTAAGCACCTGAAAGGTTTGAACTTTATAGTCAAACAAAAAATATTGGTAATTATCAGTTAATTAATAAAAAGAAAAATAAACCTGATCATCGTGAACATCCTTGATTTCTGAAGATTAGGCTTTTGTTTCTCTGCCTTGCTCACCCCCATCTAATAATTTAAAGCTTCCAGAATATTCACTTTCACCATCAAAGTGATCTCTCTTTTTGTGACCCCTGGAATACACTTATGAAATAAACTATTAAGGACCAGTTATAAGTATCCTTTATGCTTAAGAACATAAAAACATAAGCCTTAAAATCTGGAATGTAATTGTTGAAAGTTTAAGGTGTCAAAACATAAATTGTGTGACATTTACACTAAACCAGCAAGCAATTGGCCTATCATGAAGATTTTGAAATTCAATCTACAGAAAAACTGCCAAGCACCCAATTAAGAATTCACATGAGAAGAATTTGAGAAATTAACGATAAATATGACATACAGAGAGAAGTAGATAGGAAGAGAGACACACAAGATGTGCTTCAGATTTACTTACAGATAGAACTTGAATAAAAACCGAGTTGGATGAGGCTACACATCGTCGACAGGGTGAGGGAAGGGAGCATGTCTACAACAACGATGTCTTCGGCTAGTGTTTTCATGGGAATCGATCATCCTGTTGAGAGGGAAGAAGATTTAGGTAAGCACGTGAATGTTAATGGGGGAATGGAGGGTTGGTTAACTTTTGTAGGTTGTATCGGGATCTAAAATCACCAGATTTTTAAGAATTGTAAATTTATCGGAAAGATGCGAAAGAGAGGAACAATAAGAGATTCATTGCATAAAAGTATTGATAACTCGACACATTCGAAATGGCCAACATCATCCAAAATTTCCTAGAAGAAAGAAAGAAGAGATAAGTAAAAGGGGCAAATCGGATGAGGAATTCTAACCTTATTCCTCGAGGGGTTTGAAGAGGCGAGGTAGATGCGAATTAGGATATGTTTTCTGGCATGATTGAAGTAAAAAAGGAATTATTTTTATGTTTCTTTAGGTTACAATTGAGACAGAGGGAGAGGGTAGATGACGAAGGAAAGAATAGAGAATCGTGTAACGGTGTTTGAATAAGCAGGATGATGTCAGCAAAACAATCCAGTGGTGAAAATTAAGGGTTGAAATGTAATTAATGGTCCTGATTTTTTAAGATTAGAATTTAAGATTCTCTTTTAATAATATTTAGAGATATGTTTCCTTTTAAATTCAAATTTTAAATTTTAAATTTCAAATCTAAAATTTCAAATTTAAATAAATTTTTGTTTAAACTTTCATATTTAATTTTTTATTTTATCGAACCCGTATAACATACGGGTCTCACACCTAGTTTATTATATCTTATTCTGGATTACCATATATAACAATTTTTTTTTTTTAAATCAATTATAAATACTAACATTTTGTCTGGGTCAACTTTTGGGTTAGTTTAATATACTTTTCTTTTTATTGGCATAAAAAGTGTAAATTGAGATTGAAGAAAAAATAAAAAAACACAAAGATTTTAAGTGGTTCACTTTGTGGTTGCACCGCAACCCACTAATATCGCCCATTTATCGAGCATCGCAACTACGGTGTCGAATAACTTAAAATTTGGATCGACCCTGCAGCCAACTCCGTAATTGCATCACAAACTGCTAAATCATTGACGGGGTGGTTTTTGATACAATAATTGTTAATCAATTTTGGATGTTAATTGCTTACGTAATTAACAGGTCATCTTTAGATGTATTAATAACTTTTGACTGTTCATGAGTTTTTAAGTGATATACATGTCACTTGGTTACCTAGTTAATCACGTAACTATTCTACAATTAATAACCTTTGTAATTAGTGGCCTTTAAAAACCTTTAAAAACGATGTATAAGACTTTTACATTTGTATATAGTAGTATTCATAAAGTTATCAAACTAACTTATCTGATTTGATATGAAAAAAATATAAGAAACAAATGCTAACACTACAAGAAATGTAAGTATTAGCAGCGACGTCTTTAGCGACGACGCACACCATTAGTGGCGACGACCAAGTTTCGCGTTGTTTGTCGGCGCTAATGGGAACACGTCATTGATCTGTGTCAATTGCTGAGGTGAATTGATAGCCGTCGATTTAGGCCTAATCCAACGCCAGGAAATCCATTTCGTTTAATACCTTTAGCGGCGACGCCTTTACCGACGACTGCGTCGCCGCTAATACTCAAAAATTACCGCCGAAGATTCCCTCTAACGCATGTCGCGCTATTTATCCTTTTGTCGCCGCAATTAGTATATGTTGTCTTTAATACTCATCGCAGATTATACCCCCTTCGTTTTGTCCCAGTTCAGTGTGCGTCCCATTTTCATTTTTTGAGAGAAATCGTTGCGACCTGCGACCTCCAACCGTCCTAGGCTTCCACTGGCGTTCCACACACCGGCGACCCACCCCATTACCGACAACCCACCCATTCACCGGCGACCCACCCCTTCGCCGACAACCCTCGGGCGACGTCAGTGACGTTCCAAACCCCATCATGATATTTTAAAGAAAAAACTAATAAAAACTTATTAAATAACATATTTGTAGTTGGAGACTATATAAATTTTTTATAACAAAAGAAGTTATTAATAAAATAATTTACAAATCAATTAACGATTTGATAAAGAAATATTTATTAAGATATCATCTATGTGGACTCAAGATATTTTAATGATATAATTTTCTTTTAAATATATATACATATTTGAATAATAGTTTAAAGAAATAAGTTCGTATTTAAATATAGTAAATATAAAAAATAGAAATCTTCTCTTCAAAGACTTATAGAAATCATTTAAATTTAAAAGGGATCTCGGCGAGGTATAGAAATCTATTCTAGACTAACAATAAGTTGGAACTTACTTTGTTATATTTATAGTCGTGTTAGTTTTGATTTCTTAAAACTTACTTTAAAAATACGTAACTATATAATAAAAACATTATCCATAATGTGATAATTTATATTTATTCTGTTAGTAATCATTTTTATATTAAATCATGTATACGAAAGAGTTAATAATATGTTGTTATATAAAAAAAATTTCATTAATTATGTTTATTCAATTAATAATTTTCGACATAATTTTAATAGTTTAGATCACAGAATTATCATGGGTACTATTCAGGAAGTTAAACGAACACTCATCTTTTTTAGGCGAGTCTTGTTAAAAATTTCATCAAACCGGGTATATGTTAAAATCATGATCAAACCGCATATATGTTAAAATCATTATTTTTATGATATTTGTATATCTTTACAAGATTTGGTATTGATTGTATTATTTTAACATATCATCATACATACTTATAAAGCTAACATTTTTTCTTGAATCTCAGGCATTTGAAACTCTATTTTTTAATTTCCTCAAACCACATTAATTTGAAACCCCATTTTTTAACTAATGCAACTCAAAAGTTTTCTTAATTATGATTTAACACTCAAAAGTTTTATAACTTATATTATGTTTAATTAGCATTTAGTGAAAAGTTTACTATAAAAAGATCAATCTTTTGTGTCTTTTGTGTTATATAAAATCTTACATGTAAGAAGGACTTGAAGATATTGTGATTCAAAAGTTTTCATATAGTTGAAGCATTCACGATCCAAATATATTGATTTGAAGAAATGAGTTATGTCGCATCGATGGTAATTGTAATATGATTTTTTCTTTCAACCAAAACAAATGAAACTTTTCTATTCTCTCTTTATATTCAGTTTCTCATTTAATCTTTATATGTGATTTGTGTGTATTACTCAATCTTGAATGTGACTCT